CTAAACTTCTTCAGGGCTCCCTTTCCAGAGGAATAGCTGGAGAAAAGTTCTAAGTTGGGGAAAAAAACCACAAATCCACCCTTAAGGACATTATTCTATAGTGGTTGTGGTCCTTCCTGTCAGGTCTTGTCTAAAACTGATGCTGGAGGAAGATAGTTCAACATTCAGGGAATTGGCAGCTGCTGTTCTTCAACGAGGTAACTTATCTCCAGAGATCACTGGGGAAGGTCATCCAGAGCTATATACTTTGGTGACATTCTATGTTGGTGGCACTTAACCGAAGTTCTGCCTGTCTTCTAATGCCAATTAAATAACCAGTACCTTGAATTCTGTCTAATGTTAAGAGTTGGGTGTCAACTTGCAAAGCTTTCAAGTTGCCATGAGCAGGAGGGAGGGAGAACTGATAGAGCTGATTGATTTCCCTAACTGAAGTGCATTCCATACATTCTTCCTGACCGCAATCAGAAGGAGGGTGTTGGATTTCACAGCCAGCCAAAGTGGTTAATTGGAGAATGTGATTTATGACATGCCCAGAGAGGAGGGGAGAGATAGGGTCATAGGGGAACGTAAATCTACATGGGATTAGTTCTAACTGCATCCGAATATTGCCGAAATGGTGCTCCTAATTTATTTTATTTTATTTTATTTTATTTTATTTCTATACCACCCTTTTCCTGCAGAACTCAGGGCGGTGTACAGCCAAGATAAAACATTGCATATAAAATTTAAAAACAATTTAAAAAACAATTAAATAATTTTGGCCCAAGATTTAAAAACAACCCAATTAAAACCGAATTCAATTAATAAATAATTATAATTATTAATCCTAATAAATGACTATTTCTTTTGAAGTTCGGCTCATGGATTAATTAGGGCATCTTTCGGAAACTTCACATTGGGCCTGTTTGTGATTTCTATTGTATGTCCATATATGAATCCTGATTGGAACTGCTTTTAAAATTGCTTGTGACTGAGGTCAAATTTTTGGACGAGACTTAATTAAGAGTAGGAAATGACAGCCTGTGGACTGTACATTTTGCTTAATACAGAGAGTGGATAGAACTTTTACTTTTTCTTTCCTTGATGCTCTCTCTATTGTCCTTCCATATTTATGTAAGCTGTCAGACTTCGATGCTAACTCAAAATAAATGAATTTCCAAACTGCCAATATTTAAGGAAATCTTTTCTTTAATTGAGCACAACCACCGGATCATGACTCGATGCGGACAAGACTGACCTTTTGCCCCCCAATCCCTCCCTTTCTGATCCCCAAATATCTGCTTCTCATTGGCTATCTTCCAAGTCATTCTTCAGACTTCTTGTCACATCATTTCCCAGGAATGTCTCCCCCACTTCATTTCCACGACAACCGGACATCAAAGGGATTTAGCAGGCAGAAGTTCAGAGCTTATCTCTCTCTCTCTCTCTCTCTCTCTCTCTCTCTCTCTCTCTATCTATCTATCTATCTCTATGCCAGCGAAACGCTGACATAAGCATTGAGAAACAATATTTTGACTTTTTTATTTTACTAAACATACAGAGGGCTGTGAGACCTACAGCTATGATGGCAGCAGTTTCCATGGCGTGTCATGATTTCTTGTCACATCCTCCCTGAAATTGTTTTAGGGGGACCTTGTGTTCCCTCTTCCATTTTTGTAGATATAGTTGGTTGGTGAAGTGGTGGCCCTTTGGCCTACCCATCAGTAGTGGGTTTCACTCACCTTCACTACCAGTTTGGAACTGTGAGCGCACACTTACTTTGCTCGTGCACAGCGCCTCTGCACATGCGCAGAACCTTCTGTGCATGCACAGAGCATCCATGATGATGTCCAGGTGGGTGGGTGGAGCCTCCCACTGCCGCCACTACCAGTTCCTCCGAACCGGTAGAAACCCACCACTGCTACCCATCTCTGAGACTGTGTGTGAATAACCCCAAATATTGTCAAGTGTTTCGTAGATTTGGTTGGGAGTCCCTGTGTTCCTGATGTCTCTGTGTCAGTTTTTCTCTTGAGATTACATTTCTTATCTGGAGATGGAGAACATTGATATGTACACCTTGACCTACAAGAGGTAACTGGGGCTTTGCGTGAGAGAGGGAAGCTGACAGGATAAGTAGAATCATCCTATCATGACAGGTTGAATGTGGGTCATACTTAATGATATCTGATCTGCTATTCAAATGTTGTCACACTCTATGGCCTTTGGCTTCTACTCTCAGTGCCTGGCTACCAACTGCTGCATTTGTCAGCCGAATCTCCAGCATGGGCCTTTCCTTTGATGTATGCTTGCTACCGGCTGCCATAGTAACAGGGAGGCGAGAGGCATGGCATTTGGGTTGAGGAAGTGAGCTACTAAGCTGAAGACTTATGTGAGCTAAAAGGGAGGTTTGCCTACGTGGCTAGCTGCCCAGTGTGTGCGGCTGCAAAGAAGCCCCCAGGGAAACCTGCTGGACTCCTCCAGAGTGTTGAGAACCCTAGTGCCCCATGGAAGGAAATATCTATGGACTTCATTGTTGAACTACCTGAGAGTGGAGGGGGGGGGATTTCAGTTATTTGGGTGATTATGGACTTATTTTCCAAGCAGGTGCACTTTTTACCCTGCCCCAAAATATCCTCTGCAAAAATACTCATCAAACTATTTATTCAACATGTGCATAGGTTACATGGGGTTCCTGACCACATTATTTTGGATTGGAGGGTACAATTCACCTCCCACTTCTGGCAGGAATTCCTGGAGTTGTTAGGCTCCACCCAGGGTTTAACCTCCACCCATCACCCCCAAACTAACGGGGCCTGTGAATGTACTAACTCGGTTCTGGAACAGTACCTTAGGTGCTATGTAAACTAACAGCAGGACAATTGGGCCAACTTGCTGCCATTTGCAGAGGTCATCTACAATAACTCAATCCATAGTAGCAGTGGTTTCACCCCATTTAAAGTGGCTTCTGGTCAGGATTTCATCCCCATACCCCAGGGGAAGCCTTAAATCCCCTCCTTAGAGGAGTGGATTGAACAGCTATAATGTATTTGGCCAGTCACCCATAAGGCACTAGATGAGGCACATCAGGCCCATAAGAAACAGGCTGACAAGAAAAAGGCTACACCGAAAGAATTTCAAGTGGGGGACAAGGTTTTCTACCTACAAGGTACTTACAAACCATTCAAAAATCTAAGAAACTGGGCCCTAAGTATGTAAGCCCTCTCCTGTATTGTAGATTACTTCTATCCTTGTTTTCTGTGTCTTAAGTTTTTCCTTAGGGCTAAAGCTTCCACTGCAGGAGGGCTGAATGTAAGCCGGATCTCCAGCATAGGACTTTCCTTTGATGTATGCTTGCTATCGGCTGCCATAGTAGCTGGAAGGGGGAGGCATGGCATTTGGGTTAGGGAAGTGAGCTGTTGAGTTGGAGGCTCAAAGGGAAGTTTGCTCTCAAGAATTACTGCACTGCTGGGTGTAGTTGTTTACACCCTGTCAAGGCCAGAAGTCCTAGAGCTCCAGATGGGTGAAATCAGGATTGCAAGTAATACATTCAATAAGAACTCCGAGGCAGGCAAATTCCTCAAAGAACATTTTATTGGGACACATCAAATTGGATGGGGGTGGCAGCAAGAATCCTAATTGACCAATAAGTGTTGCCCCAAAGACAAATGACCTGAGAAATGAAGGACTTCATAGGAGGGGCAGGTTATTTATTTATTTATTTATTTATTTATTTATTTATTTATTTATTTATTTATTTATTTATTTATTTATTTATTTATTTATTTATTTATTGGTTCGATTTTTATGCCACCCTTCTCCAGAGACTCAGGGCGACTTACAATGTGTTAAGCAATAGCCTTCATACTTTTGTATATATCTGCTTAGTAGGGCTTTCGAGGGCCCCTAAGCGGTGTTCTTTTTACACAAAGTCAGCTTATTGCCCCCACAATCCGGGTCCTCATTTTACCTACCTCAAAAGGATGGAAGGCTGAGTCAACCTTGAGCCTGGTGAGATTTGAACTTGCAGTAATTGAAGGCAGCTGGCAGCTAAGTGCTACTTTAACAGCACTTTAGCTGCTGCACCACTAAAGTTAACACTGGAGACAGATTTTCCCATATTACATGGTGGCAAGAGTGGTATATTGAACAATAGAGGGAATCAAGCCCTCCTCCCCCTCCCCCTCCCCCTCCCCCCCCCCCCCCAGCAGAGGTCATACACCATCCACAACTTTTTCATGTTGTTGCTAGGAACTAAGAATAATGGATAGACTAGATAGTGCATCTTTACTCAGATACTAAATGAATGGTTATAAGTCATGGATTATGCATTCTTAATCAGTTGATTGAGAAGTAGCAAAGAGTATTGTTAGGCAAGCCTTGTCAGGAAAGCATAGGCTATAAAAGTGTCTCCCACAAGACACTCCTCACCAGAAGTCAAAAAGACTGTTTAGCATCTCCTTCCAAGAAACTGGAACTAGAAGCTGAGAGAGAGGAAGCCATGATGAGGATGGACCTTGATCTGGAGTTCAACTAAGTGGAGATTGCTGAGAAAGGGCACATCCGGAGAAAGTGAAGGAGCATCAACACCAGTTAGGGCACTACCCAAATCTCAGTGGAATGAAAATATCAATTCAAAAACAACTGTGAAAGAGATGTTGAGACATTCCTAACTAACTTTGAAGATGTTTCCTGAGCTGAGAGTACTCCAAAGCCCAGGACAAGGCTCATATTTGCCCTCTCTTGAAATAATGCTTAAGTCAAATATTCATTAAACTGAGTGTTCTGATGAAAAGGACAACCAATAGTATTAAAAAAACAGAAATATTAATTATTAATTCATTTATTTCATGTTTGAGATCATTTTGGATTTCCGTTTGATTAATCTTACACTCTTCATATTTTTATTTCATTTGGTTTTAAATAACCCTAATTGCAAGGGAACACATGCAAAGGAAGCATACAAAGTAATCATAATTGCAATAAGTAATTAAATGATGTGAATCTAAGAAACAATTTCATTATCAGTTTCCTATTTTAATCATTAAATGTTCCTTAGTGTTTAGCTCTGGTCGCAGGATAATAATATAACACTTGGGGAAGAAGATGCAACCCAGCAACCCAGCACCAGAAGCCAAGATAGAGAAGACTTGCACGGCCACCATGTATTTCCCTTTGGTGCTCAGGTAGGTGGGCAGGAAGGAGACCCAGACGCTGCAGAAGACCAGCATGCTGAAGGTGATCAGCTTGGCTTCATTGAAGGCCCCAGGTAGGTTCCTGGCTAGGAAAGCCACTGTGAAGCAAACAGCAGCTAGGAAACCCATGTAGCCAAGGACAACATAAAACATGGTGACAGAACCTTCATTGCACTGAAGGATGCTCTCTCCAGGCTGGGAGTGCAGGTCAGAGTCAGGGAATGGGGGAGAAACTCCTATCCAAAGGGCACAAATGAAAATTTGAACACCAGAACAGGAAAGGATAACAGAATTGGCCAAGCTCTTCCCCAACCATCTTTTCATTTGGTTTCCTGGTTTTGTGGCAAGGAAAGCCAATACCACTGTGATCGTTTTTGCCAATAAGGAAGACACAGCTACTGAGAAGACAATGCTGAACACTGTTTGTCGGAGAAGACAGGTGATTTTCCTTGGTTGTCCAATGAAGAAAAAGGAGGACAAGAAACAAAGCATGAGGGAGATGAGGAGGATGTAGGAGAGGTCCCGGTTGTTGGCTTTGACAATAGGAGTTTCCAGATATTTAAGGAATATGATTAAAACAAGGCCTGTGGTTAGAAACAAGACTAGGGCAAAAGAGACCAAGATAATGGCCAGATGTTCCTCATAGGACAGGAAGGTTATTTGTTTAGAGATACATTGGAGTCGGTTCTCAGTTGAATATTGATCATCTGGGCACTTGGTGCATTTTTCAGTATCTGGGATAACAGAAAATAATATTTATTTTATAGTCTCAAATTTCAAGAAAACTTTCTTTGAATGAGATGTGATACTGAGAGTTAGGAAAGTCATGGAAAATTTACCCTAGTAATGTTAAAGTAAATGTTAAAATATATGCTTGTATATAAAATGTTTAATTTTATGGTGTTTTTTTTCTTTTTTTCACATTTTATAGTTTTTTATTTGCTTATAATATAAAATACGAAATCAGAAAAGCAAATAGTAGGGAACAAAGGGAAGGGAAAGGGTAAGAGGGAAGTGTAGGAAAGAAGTGAAAAAAAGGAAAAAAAGGCTTTGACTTCAGACTCCCTCTGGTGCAGTAGAATAAGACAATAACATCAAACCACAACTTTTTACTTTTCCACCATAGTGTAAACGAGCCATTTCTATAACAACAAATCTATCTAATGAGTAAAACCCAAAATCAAAGTTTCATTTTGTTTTACTTTTAAAAACAAATATATCCATGCATACACATACAAAACTTTGTAACGCTTACACTCCAGCAAAAAAATCCCTCTATACTGTGTGTGTAATTGTAAAAAATAAGAACAACAAAAATCTATGGAGATTCTCAGTCCTCCAGGTCATGGTTGTCCCAAAGGTGCTTTTTCAAGAGGCAACTGGACTTTCTGGTTTTTCTTTGAAGGTGTTTGTTAAGAATATTGTTGTTGTGTTACCAACCAGCAGAGTGTAGAGCACAGAGAAATGTTGCTGAGAGCAATGAATAAGAGATGTGCAAACTGGTTTTATCAAAAGTTTACTTTATAGTGAAAAAACAATCTCATAGTCTTTAAATCAATCCAAGTCTTTGCCAGTTAAATCAGTCCAGTGATAGAAAAATCTTCTTACCACACAAACAGTAGTTGGTTAGAATAACAAACTCACTCTGGTTCACAAACCACGATGGTAGCAGATCCACCCAACGATGATAGCACAATGGTAGCAACTCCACACACAATGGTAGCTTATCATCAACTGAATACTTTACAGTACCTTTCTTAAATACGTTTACAACCAGTGTAATTACAGCATGACTCAGCATTACAATGAATCAGCAGGAAAACTTTAAAGTCACACAATACATATTCATATTAAAGTCACAGAACACATATATTGCCTGGACAACTTGTTAGGCTCAAATCATATCCTAACCAAGAGCCTTGGTAGTACAGTGGTCTAAGTTACCCTGTTATTAAGCTGGTTATTAAGACCAGCTGCCTGCAATTACTGCAGGTTCGAATCTCACCAAGGCTCAAGGTTGACTCAGCCTTCCATCCTTTCTAAGGTAGGTAAATTGAGGACCCAGTTGTGGGGGCAATAAGCTGACTTTGTATAAATATACAAAAGGATGAAGGCTATTGCTGAGCACATTGTAAGCTGCCCTGAGTCTCTGGAGAAGGGCGGCATATAAATCAAATTAAAATAAAATAAAATAAAAATAACAGTGTTTTGCTTCTCATCCAAGAAGCTGCTTCAGCTCTCACAAAGCTTCTTGGATGAGAAGCGAAACATAGTCAAACAACAATCCGAAAGTCCAGTTGCCTCTTGAAAAAGCACCTTTGGGACAACCATGACTGGTTGACTGAGAATCTCCATGGACATTTACCCAGACGAGGTAATGTCATCAGTGCTAGCAGTGATGATGTTACCTAGTTTGGGTAGTGAAACATTTGCAAGAAGACAAGCAAGCTCAGAGAGCACCAAGGACCCCTCAAATTGTATTTTTCTTCTAGAATTCCCTTGGAGCACGCTTATCATGCTAAATTATGCTACTTCCTGATAGGCCGCTAACAAGAACTTCACATAGGGATTGTTCTAAAACAGGCCTATCAAACTGGTGGCCCATGTGCTGGATGCATCACACGCAGTCGACACCCACCGCGGCTCCACAAAGGCAAAAAACGTTGCGATACATCATAGTACGTCACGTGACGCGATCGAGTTTGACACTTGTGTTCTAGAAAGATTGAAATCACACACTGATGTCGCTTGCTGGATCAGCCAAGCAATCCAGGGTGATAATGTCAGTGGAACAATTTGCCTCCAGAAGTTGTGAATGCCCCAACACTGGAAGTTTTTAAGTAGAGACTGAACAACCATTTGCCTGAAATAGTATAGGATTTCCTGCCTGAGCAGGGGGTTGGACTAGAAGACCTCCAAGGTCCCTTCCAACTCTGTTATTCTACTCTAAACGGAAAGAAAGTCTTCCCTAGTGTCCAAGCCATGGAATTAACCGAAAAGGGATCTGTTGCCTGAAATATACATTTTTTAAAACTCTAGACCAGTCTTTTTACTTGAATCAAGCTCTTTAACCTGTTCATTCTATGTATTCACCTTCATCAGTGAGAGAGTCATAATAAAAGATGTTGTTGCTGGCTGCCAAATGGCCAGCTGCAGCGCTTTCCTACTTCAAAACAAATAAATCGAACTAAGCAAGTAAGGGAAAGGCACCACCAAGTATAGAAAGGAAGAGGCACTACCAAATGTAGGAATAGACAGCAAAATCTTAATCAGAGGTAGGTTTTAGCAGGTTCTGACCAGTTCTGGAGAACCGGTAGCAGAAATTTTGAGTAGTTTGGAGAACCGGTAGTAAAAATTCTGACTGGTCCTGCCCCCATCTATTCTCTGCCTTCCAAGTCCCAGCTGATTGGGAAGAAATGGGGATTTTGCAGTAACCTTCCCCTGGATTGGGGAGAGAATGGTGGTTTTACAGTATCCTTCCCCTGCCACGCCCACCAAGCCATGCCACTCTCACCAAGCCACACCCACAAAACCGGTAGTAAAAAGATTTGAAACCCAGGCACTGATCTGAATGTTTTCAATCTAGCAGTGGATGCAAATAAATGTCTTGTTTTACTTTGTGGAGATTGATTTCTTCATAATGGGAATAATCATTACACAAAAAATAATTGAAACCTGCACACAAAAGCCACAATTGGAAAGGTCTGGATCACTTCAGCTATATGGGATTTACTTTGTATTTACAGTATATGCCGTGGATTTTTCCATCTATCTATGCCAGGGGTGTCAAACTGGCGGCCCACAGGCCAGATGCAAAAGGGAGGATGAAGCCTGAACTTTTGCCTGCTAAATCCCTTTGAAGATTCGGTCTCCTTGGAGATGAGGAGGGGGGAAACATTCCTGTGAACTGACGGGAAAAGGAGTCAGGAGAGTGACTTGGAAGATAGCCAATGAGAAGCAGAGAATTGGGGATCAGAAAGGGAGGAATTGGGGGGCAAAGGTCAGTATTGACCGCGAAGAGCCAGGATCCGGTTGCTGTACTTGAAAAAAGAGAACATTTCCTTAAAGATTGGCAGTTTGGAAGTTCATTTATTTTGAAATAGCATCGAAACCTGACAGAGTGCAGGCCACGCCCACCCCAGCTCCGCAAAGGCAAAAAACATTATGATAGGTTGTGATAGGTCACGTGACACAATTAGGTTTGACACCCGTGATCTATGGCAATCTTTCCTTTGTGATCCAGATGGGCAGAAATGCCAAATATGGTGATTTTCGATCTATTTACTATTCTATCATGGACTTTCTGCACAAAATGTTTCCATTGTTCCTATTCCAAGTGTGATTTGTCCGTGAAAGGCTAGACAAGTTGCCCAGATGAAAGGACCCAGAAGATCTGCCCCAAGAGAAGATTGAAACAATCATTTCTCTCGACAGCTACATCATTTATCGCTCCATCTAGACTGTGGCCAGGGCTTTAACTGCTGGGTATTTTTGAAAATAAACAAAAAAATCAGCTGAGATTCATTCTGTCCTTTAACTTTCACTTTTATGAAAATTGCCTTGGATGAATCCACTTCCTCAAGGCCTTGCCTTTTCTTTGGTGTCACCCACCTTCCTGAGTGGAGATGGTCCCCTCTGGACAAGGAACGCAGTCATAGCAGCAAAATGGCTCTCCTTCTCGCTTCTGCTTGACATATCCAGGATGACATTTTTCCACACATTTGGACTGAGGCAGAGACTAAGCAGAAAAACAAGGAATGCCCAAAGAAAATATGTTAGCATTAACCATCCTGACATGTTGACAGACACTTGAAATAAAAGTTTCTGCTGAGTTTCTAGAACTATAATGATATGAGGTAGAAGTAGAGGTAAAATGTAAGTCAGGAATCTTTTGCTGCAGAATGCAGAATGAGCTGTGTGAGGGAATCAGGAATCCTAGCCCAGCTAGGAATCCAAACGAATCTATCTTCTCTATCTTCTCTCTCTCACCCCCATCATCTCTGTATCCTATCTCTCTCTGTCTCTCTCATATCTATCTATCTATCTATCTATCTATCTATCTATCTATCTATCTATCTATCTATCTATCTATCTATCTATCATCTATCTATCTATCTATCTATCTATCTATCTCTTTCATCTACGTAACCTCCCTCCTTCTTCTATCATCTGTCTGTCTGTATGTCTATCTATCTATCTTCTCTATCTTCTCTCTCCCACCACCATCTCTGTATCCTATTCTCTCTCTCTCTCTCCCTCTCTCTCTCTCTCTCTCTCTCTCTCTCTCTCTCTCTCTCTCTCTCTCATATCTTTCATCTATTTAACCTCCCTCCCTCCATCCCTCCTTCTTCTATCATCTGTCTGTCTGTCTATCTATCTTCTCTAGGTCCTTTCTGTTGAAGAACTACAATTAGGTAACAACAACTGGCTTGGAAGAACAAATCCATGTTTGTTATTAGTTAAATTTGGAGCTCATTTTCTCCCCAGAATGATTTAAAGTAGCTAACAATCAAGATAAATAATTGCATTCAAGGTTTTTTTTTAATGAAGTACAAGTCATAGCCCAAATCTAAGCAACATTTCCTTCATTTTTTTCAGGCTTTTCACTGAGTCAAAATCATATTTCAGCACTTCAGTTTTCTGTGTCAGGACATTATCTCTCAGCAATCAAGTCATTTTGATTCCATGTCAAAAAAAAATTCTTGGACTTCCTT